AGAGAGACAGGACACTTGAGACGACAATCTCCTTACCTCACCTGGGTTTACCGAACATCTCCGTCTACCTACGAGGAGAGACGTGGAGGGCCAAAGAGCATTTTATTCCTTCGAGTGCATTAGGGGTGAAATTATTAAACTGGGATGAAACTGTATTGAGTTTGTTAGAGCAAACTGTTGGAGTTTGTTGGTGGTGGTGGTGTTTGTTGGAGCAAGGTGGTGGTGGTGGTGTTTGTTGGAGCAAGGTGGTGGTGGTGGTGTTTGTTGGAGCAAGGTGGTGGTGGTGGTGTTTGTTGGAGCAAGGTGGTGGTGGTGGTGTTTGTTGGAGCAAGGTGGTGGTGGTGGTGGTGTTTGTTGGAGCAAGGTGGTGGTGGTGGTGTTTGTTGGAGCAAATTGGTGGTGGTGGTGTTTGTTGGAGCAAGGTGGTGGTGGTGGTGTTTGTTGGAGCAAGGTGGTGGTGGTGGTGTTTGTTGGAGCAAGGTGGTGGTGGTGGTGTTTGCTGGAGCAAGGTGGTGGTGTTTGTTGGAGCAAGGTGGTGGTGGTGGTGTTTGCTGTTGGAGCAAGGATATGCTACTTACAATCTGGTGAAGCTGTTTACAGCCTGCTGACGCTGGCTTTGTTTGTGTTGGGCAATATTAAATGTTGCGGTGCAATAGAGGTGTTTAAGGCACCTTTGACCATTAGTCGTGAGGACGCGTGTGTTTACACCTGTGCTAAGTGTTACACTGTGTGTGTGTTGGGGGGGGGGAAGGGAGGGAGGGAGGGGGTTGTGGTTGTGTGTGTGTGTGTGTGTGTACTCACCTATTTGTGCTTGCAGGATCGAGCATTGACTCTTGGATCCCGCTTTTCCAGCCATCGGTTGTTTACAGCAATGACTCCTGTCCCATTTCCCTATCATACCTAGTTTTAAAAGTATGAATAGTATTTGCTTCCACAACCTGTTCCCCAAGTGCATTCCATTTTTCTACTACTCTCACGCTAAAAGAAAACTTCCTAACATCTCTGTGACTCATCTGAGTTTCCAGTTTCCACCCATGTCCCCTCGTTCTGTTATTATTACGTGTGAACATTTCATCTATTTCCACTTTGTCAATTCCCCTGAGTATTTTATATGTCCCTATCATATCTCCTCTCTCCCTTCTTTTCTCTAGTGTCGTAAGGTTCAGTTCCTTCAGACGCTCCTGTGTGTGTGTGTGTGTGTGTGTGTGTGTGTGTGTGTGTGTGTGTGTGTGTGTGTGTGTGTGTGTGTGTGTGTGTGTGTGTGTGTATGCCGCCTCTCAGTATTCCACGCATAGTCTCTGCATTGAAGCGTACAATGCATTTTATTTTAGCGTTTAAGAAGCTCAGGAAGCATTTTATATTTTGCTACACATAAGAGGGGCTTTCTCTCTGCCTGTTCCTCCATGCCTGTCAGCGCTAGGTTCGGCTCTTTCCGTTTGGCCGGAAAGAGGCTGTGATTTGGCTGTGAAGTAAGAGGGACTCTTACTTCACAGCCAAATAGTTCTTACAAATCACCTTATCCTCTTCCTTGGCTCCATGAGAACGCTCAACGCAACTCCGGACACTACTTGAATACTGGTACTCCCCCAGTACTAAGGTACTGGTACCCCAGTACTAAGGTACTGGTACTCCCCCAGTACTAAGGTACTGGTACTCCCCCAGTACTAAGGTACTGGTACTCCCCCAGTACTAAGGTACTGGTACTCCCCCAGTACTAAGGTACTGGTACTCCCCCAGTACTAAGGTACTGGTACTCCCCCAGTACTAAGGTACTGGTACTCCCCCAGTACTAAGGTACTGGTACTCCCCCAGTACTAAGGTACTGGTACTCCCCCAGTACTAAGGTACTGGTACTCCCCCAGTACTAAGGTACTGGTACTCCCCCAGTACTAAGGTACTGGTACTCCCCCAGTACTAAGGTACTGGTACTCCCCCAGTACTAAGGTACTGGTACTCCCCCAGTACTAAGGTACTGGTACTCCCCCAGTACTAAGGTACTGGTACTCCCCCAGTACTAAGGTACTGGTACTCCCCCAGTACTAAGGTACTGGTACTCCCCCAGTACTAAGGTACTGGTACTCCCCCAGTACTAAGGTACTGGTACTCCCCCAGTACTAAGGTACTGGTACTCCCCCAGTACTAAGGTACTGGTACTCCCCCAGTACTAAGGTACTGGTACTCCCCCAGTACTAAGGTACTGGTACTCCCCCAGTACTAAGGTACTGGTACTCCCCCAGTACTAAGGTACTGGTACTCCCCCAGTACTAAGGTACTGGTACTCCCCCAGTACTAAGGTACTGGTACTCCCCCAGTACTAAAATACTGGTACCCCAGTACTCGTACCACTGCATAAAACTGCAAATAAAGAGGTTTAGCATCGAGTTTATAGCCTCTGTGGATCCCTCGCTTGAATCGCATAGTCTCCCGTTATTGAGAACGATGACTAGAGTGCCTGGGGATAGGTTCAAGAGTGGTGCATTGCCTGAAAGTTAAAGGGAGTAAGATGGGAACTGGAGCCAAGAGGCCCGTGGCAGGACGATAACGCTAAACTATTGCTTCCAGTTTGTGAGCACGTGGTCACCTTTTTTGTGGCATATATATATATATATATATATATATATATATATATATATATATATATATATATATATATATATATATAAGTTGTGACGAACAGAAACATCGTAGATATATATATATATAAAATTATTATATACTTAAATAATAGAACTATAATGCATATTATATGATTGCATAGCATTCAATAAATATCTATAGCAAATCGAGAATCTCTTATCACCTTCTCAGAGAATGGGCGCGGAAAATATTTCCTCTCTGAATCGCAACGCTGAGACGCTGCAACAGAAATACGGCCACTCTGGAGTCCTTAGTTTCCATAACGAGTTTATCTCCCAAGTTATTCAAGAACTTAAGAGTGCACTTTTGCCCCCCGTGAGCCTAATGTCTCTGAGCCTATTGGATTAAGGCTGTAGCACTACACAAGTCCCGGATATTTAATAGTTTCCCCGGAGTCTCTCTGAATACTGCGCCACCCTGGATATAGTTTCCTGCAAGAAGTTCCGGACCAACCGGGCTGTGGTGGATATGTGGGCCTGCGAGCCGCGCTCCAAGCAACAGCCTGGTGGACCAAACTCTCACAAGTCAAGCCTGGCCTCAGGCCGGGGTTGGGGAGTAGAAGAACTCCCAGAACCCCATCAACCAGGTATATGAGGGCATGCGGGCCGCTCCAAGCAACAGCCTGGTGGACCAAACTCTCACAAGTCAAGCCTGGCCTCAGGCCGGGCTTGGGGAGTAGAAGAACTCCCAGAACCCCATCAAGCAGGTATATGTGGGCCTGCGGGCCGCTCCAAGCAACAGCCTGGTGGACCAAGCTCTCTCAAGTCAAGCCTGGCCTCGGACCGGGCTTCGGGGGAGTAGGAGCACTCGCAGAACCCCAGCCAGGTACAATCCAGGTACCCCAATACTGCATGAGACAGGCGCTTGGTCATAGCGGATACCGTATCATCTGTTAATTCTAGGGCATCATGGTAACCCCAGCCGGATACATCTCACTGTTATGGGGGTTTATACTATATATTTACAGATGTATATCCGTATATCCGGCTATGGTTATATTCGTATATCCGGCTCTGGCGAGGCTTAACTTGACAATACCAAGGACAGGAGAAACCATGACACTGACACGTTTACAACCTGTCTTCCAGGAAAAGAGAGGGGGGGCGGTGGGGGAAGCGGTCAATTGGTGTCAAATTAAGGAACTCGATTATGGAATCCAGCGGTCAAATTGTCAAATGTCGCGCTCGCTCCTAACTGGTCCGCGATGAGGTCAAATAATCCGATTCGGAATACTAGTTATTTGAAATTGAACTGTGAATAAACTGATTTGGTTGGTGAAAAGCTAATTTTTAACTCTGTCTGTCTCTCTCTCTCTCTCTCTCTCTCTCTCTCTCTCTCTCTCTCTCTCTCTCTCTGAATCTCACCATTGAGAGGTTGGGAAAGGGAATTATCAAGGGGAAAGCACCAAGTCATCACGACTATATAGCACTGGGAAGGAATCAGGATAAAGATTTGGGATGGGACGGAGGGGGGAACGAATGGTGGCCACAACCACTTATGGACGGTCGGGGATTGAACGCCGACCTGCATGAATAGAGACCATCGCTCTACCGTCCACCCCAAGATGGGTGATTTTTTGGTTTCGTCTTTTGCCCCCCGCCTCCTGGGGCCAAGCACTGGGAGGCTTGCTAGAAGGAGCGAATATTGTTGTTGACTCGTGTTAACATCTCATCTCAGTCATTGATGCTGTTATCATCAACAATGATGATTATACGCGATAATTCAACGGTATAATGTATATTTATTTCATGACTATATTGATCAGATCTTTCTCTTAAGGGGGGGAGGGAGGAGGGAGGGGGGGGGGAGGTCCTACACCTGTGGTACGGACTTCCCCTACCCCCCCCCTACCTCATGGGGGGGGGGATGAATCACATACTCATCCACCCCCCACCATCCCCCTGTCTCCTCCCACTCCACGACCCCTGGAGGTCGTGTAACACACCACCTGCCTCCTGTAGGGTCGTATGTCACACCACCCCCCCCTCTCTCTATCCACGGACGGGGGTCGTACACCCCCCCCCCAGCAAGGGGTCGTGCGTCAATACAGGTGTGTTTTAGCAGCGGTCATTATCCCCTCGGGGCCTTTGTTAGCATCGTGAACCAGGTGAGAGAGAAGAAGAGCCTCTACCTACGCTCTCTTATTTATACCACACCTACCAAGTCTCCCTCATTAATTTCGGATCATAATTAAAAGGCCAGATCCTCTTTTTCCTCCCCTGTGTGATGCATTCAGCTCCCTATCATCCTTCCCCCCCCACCCCACCAGACTCATCTCCTATCCCCCCCTCTCCCACACACACCCCCACCACCAGCTCTATCCTGTAAAAGAGCCTTGATCTTCCTCCCTCACTCTCCCTCACTCTCATTACTGCCGGAGAAGGATTCGCTTTGCTGGCCCCCACGGTTAAAGCACTTCTGGGATACAGAGATCCGTGGGGCCGGGGGATTCTGACTTAATTGGTCATTTGTAATGTGAAAACTCGCTTTGCAGTTCCTGGTAACGACAGAATCCAGGCGTTGTGATTGGTCTGTTGGAGGAGGAGGTATATGCCATAATGCGATGTGATTGGCTGTGGAGGAAGCAGTCTGGTCAGACTAGGAAGTGATTGGGTTATTTGAAGATGTAGGCGGTCATAATTTGCCGTAATTGGCTGTTAAGAAACCTGGTCATATTGAAAGGTGCATTGAACAAATCCACAAAGGCCGTGACGAGGATTCGAACCTGCGTTCGGGAGCATCCCAGACATTGCCTTAATCGACTGAGCTACGACTGGGTTCGAATCCTCGTCACGGCCCTTGTGGAGTGTGAAAGGTGCATTATTTATTGGGAAATAACTTGACCATGTGATTTGGGTGTTTGTGGGAAATGATTGGTAATATAGTGATTATGTCGTATGATTATTTGGTGAGATAAAGTTGAAACTCGAAACGCCGAGAGATAGTGAGACGTATTATAGGTGCCGGCCCTTACAAGGAGGAGGTGGGTCATGTGAAGATGTTATTTGGTCTTCAAGAAATATCGCGTGAACATGAGTGAACATGAACAATTAAAAGATGAAATATGAGGTACACAGATGAGGGAAGATGAGTTACACGGGTGAGGGGTAATGAGGGTTGTCGGTGGAAGGGGAAATGCAGAGAGATGGTGAGAGAAAATGATGATAGCGTAGTCTATAAATAAGAGGCTACAAGAGAAGTGAAAATGAGAGGCAGGAAAAAAAAGAAACGTGAAGATGAGGGCAAGAAAGTGACGAATGGAGCTCTATGTAAGGGGAAAGGAGCAGTAAAGGGGAGAGAATAACTGAGGGGGAAAGTGAGGAGGGAGAGAGAGAGATGAGGGAAGAGAAGGGAACATGTAGCTAGATCAAGGTGTATCAAATAGTTCGTCATTCAATTAAGGATGGAATTAGTCGGGAGTATGGAAATATGGCCCAGATATCTCTCTCTCTCTCTCTCTCTCTCTCTCTCTCTCCTCTCTCTCTCTCTCTCTCTCTCTCTCTCTCTCTCTCTCTCTCTCTCTCTCATCCTGTAGAGGAAACTGTAATCTATCCATCCCTTGACCATGAGAGGTTCTGTCAGTCATCCAATTACAGCAGGAGATAACAAATGTGAAGATTAATCTCACAGCCAGTGTTGTAGCAGGGGGGGGGGCTGACCTGTGGTGCAGCAGGGGGGGTGACCTGTGGTGCAGCAGGGGGGGGTGACCTGTGTTGTAAAGCAGAGAGAGAGAGAGAGAACGAGAGAAAGAGAGAAAGAGAGAGAGAGAAAATGACCATGCAGTAGAAAGATTGAAACGGAATGTGACGTGAAGGAGAGGGAGGGAAGGGAGGGAGAAGAGGGATAGGTGATGAAGCAAGCATAGAGAAATATGTGATGAAAGAGGCAAAGGAATGCGGTAGAGAGTTGAAGGGGAGTGGATATACGACAGGACGAAGAGGGGGAAGAATGTAAGAGATTGGGTAAGTGGAGAAAGGGCGAAGAGAAACTGATATTGAGAGGATAGGAACGGAAGATGGATAGGTGATAATGGAGCGTGATAGCTGTAGAGGGGGAAGATGAGGTGGATGGTGGGGGTGATGACTAGGGGGGGGGGGGACGAGGGGGTAGTGATGATGAATAGAAGGGGGGGGGGATGGTGATGAGTTCTGAAAGTGATGGTGAGAGGTGAGATGAGTGATGCTAGGTGGACCATTCTTGTAGGTGGGGCTAGGTGGACCCTCCTTGTAGGTGGGGCTAGGTGGACCCTCCTTGTAGGTGGGGCTAGGTGGACCATCCTTGTAGGAGGGGCTAGTTGGACCCTCCTTGTAGGTGGGGCTAGGTGGACCTTTCTTGTAGGTGGGGCTAGGTGGACCCTCCTTGTAGGTGGGGCTAGGTGGACCATTCTTGTAGGTGGGGCTAGGTGGACCATCCTTGTAGGTGGGGCTAGGTGGACCATCCTTGTAGGTGGGGCTAGGTGGACCATTCTTGTAGGGGGGCTAGGTGGACCATTCTTGTAGGTGGGCTAGGTGGACCCTCCTTGTAGGTGGGGCTAGGTGGACCCGCCTTGTAGGTGGGGCTAGTGTGGACCCTCCTTGTAGGTGTGGCTAGGTGGACCATCCTTGTAGGTGGGGCTAGGTGGACCATTCTTGTAGGTGGGGCTGGGTGGACCATACTTGTAGGTCGGCTAGGGGAACTCTCCTTGTAGGTGGGGCTAGGTGAACTCTCCTTGTAGGTGGGGCTAGGTGAACCCTCCTTGTAGGTGGGGCTAGGTGGACCATTCTTGTAGGTGGGGCTAGGTGGAGCATTCTTGTAGGTGGGGCTAGGTGGACCATCCTTGTAGGTGGGGCTAGGTGGACCCTCCTTGTAGGTGGGGCTAGGTGGACCCTCCTTGTAGGTGGGGCTAGGTGGACCCTCCTTGTAGGTGGGGCTAGGTGGACCATCCTTGTAGGTGGGGCTAGGTGGACCCTCCTTGTAGGTGGGGCTAGGTGGACTATCCTTGTAGATGGGGCTAGGTGGACCATACTTGTAGGTGGGGTTAGGTGAACCCTTCTTGTAGGTGGGGCTAGGTGAACCCTCCTTGAAGGTGGGGCTAGGTGGACCATACTTGTAGTTGGGACTAGGTGAACCCTCCTTGTAGGTGGGGCTAGGTAGACCCTCCTTGTAGGTGGGGCTAGGTGGACCATCTTTGTAGGTGGGGCTAGGTGGACCATCTTTGTAGGTGGGGCTAGGTGGACCATCCTTGTAGGTGGGGCTAGGTAGACCCTCCTTGTAGGTGGAGCTAGGTGGACCCTCCTTGTAGGTGAGGCTAGGTGTCAAGTTCTTCCCCAAGACGATCTTCTTTCTTCAATAATGTCATCTTAATTGCTATTCCCTTCCCAGCGTGTGATATCTGGATATCTTCGATCTCCCTGAAAAAATCCTTCTTCCGATGTTTCTTGGATTTTGTCTTCGTCTGTGATCTCCTTCACTCTGATACCTAAAGAGTACGCTAGTAATTCCTTCAAGGAGACCCGGAGAGCGTGGTGATTACAGCCAATAAGATTGTAGATTCGATTCCCTGTATAACATATCTTCGTTTACAGAGTCCGTCTCTCGTCGGT